AACCTCACATGTTGATTTCTTGTGATAGAACCGCGAAAACTTTCCAGTAATGACGTATCAGAGTAGTGTAATTCCCTTATCATTAGCATATTTAACACAATGACAAATAAAATTGGCGCAAAGACAACCTGGAAAACGTTTTTTAACTTTTCTGTGGTATTAGGCAGTGTTATAGTTACTCACCAAAACAGCATTAAATATAGTCATAACCCGCATATACACCTTTTTTACCTCGCTTGGAAGGATCTATAAGAGGAGCTTGAAAATGCTTGAAGTTAGTGGTAACATGACTCTAAATCACCAAACCAATTCTTTCTTGAGGAATGTTCTTGGATGTTTTTCGCCTGCATAGTAGCAAAAATCAATTAGTTGGCTTCCATTGCAAAATTCCATTAATGTGCAGTCGTACTCAAAGTGATGATATAGTGTAAGTAAGCCTGAAGCCACGCATTAAGCTTTTTTCTGGAAAATTTGGCAGTGAACAGCTATTAGGGTAACATAACTGGCCAATATTTGACTTTGATTTACCTCTCATCCTTTTGCAAGCTGTTCGTAAAAATAGTTGAAGTTGAGACCAAATTTTTTTGATATATATATTTATATACTATTTTTTGGTATATATATATATCAGATTGTTTTAAGTCAATAGATTCAAAGATAAGCTAACCAGTAGGATTTACATTGTTTTTTCTGAGTTTTACAGAACATTGTTAAGGAGCTTTCAATAAATTAGAACACTCACCGGTAGCAAAAAAGATCGAGCTCAATACAAGCACCATCTTTCCTCTTTGCCAATATAGTTTCGATCGTAATGGTGATCGAATTATTAAAAAGCGTTCGACAGAAACCGCTAAAATGAGCCTAAAGCATGTATTTGCGTAATTTACTAGATCTTTTAAAGAGAATGGGTAAAATTACCAAATTGCTGCTGCACTCATCCAATTAGCCACGGCAGCAATATGTTGTTTACTTTTCAAGTAGAAAAAGCGAAAATTATCGTTAAAGGCCAGAGTATCGTAGGATGATAGGGCATGTGGAAGCATGACAAGGAGAAACGCTAAGTCACAAAAGGAGACAGCGGCTAGCTAAAATACATATACGTCTTCTAGAAGGATTTAAGTTATCAAAATTCTTGTTTGTTGCTGATTTTCTCTTTTACTATCATACGTATTTTTCTACCCTATTTGGGGCATCACAGAGATACATTGAATAAAAAATAGCTATTGCGCACTGCATTACTGTGAAAATCAAATATTCTATTGAGTTTTTAAGTCATTCTTAAAGTCAGCCGATAAAGAAAATGGTCGTTGAAAGAATTCGAAGTGAGCACTGGTAATTCTTTGAGCGCTTGCATTTTACCGTTAATAAATCAGAAAAGATCCAGCTGTTAAAGTGCATTAAACGAGTAAGACCAGTTTATGAAGCGGTGGAAACCTTTTTTCTAGAGAAAAAACTATTCTTTCAGTTGCTAAAGTTTGGCAAGCT